TATCGAAAGAATTATCGTTGTGAGAGTACGCTGCTACGTTTAATAGAGGATTGGAGTACTAACCTGGATAATAAGGAAGTGGGTGCGGCGATGCCGGTTAGAAAACGGGTTCCTCACGGATCAGTCCTTAGACCCCTTTTCTTCAATGTCTTAATGAATGATCTCTTTTACTTTATGGACAGAGTATGTTAATGCTTACACTGAAGATGAGCAGATTTATGACTCGGATAAATATCCATTGATATTAGAACGAGACTTCAATGCCATATTCTCGAAATGGTATGATAACAAACCCAAACAAATATCAGGTAATAGTGTTAGGAAATACCAATCACGTTTTTAGTTTTCACGTTAACAGCATTAGTCGTTCTTGTTTGCAATCGTTAGAAAATCGCCCCTTATTTAGAAATTAAAACGGAAATTTTAGATTGGAGGTTTATAAAAGATTGCCGCAAGGCTTGAATCTGTCCACCGCTTTTACTTAATTATTTCTTTTTTGCACACCCCATCTTTTAAAGAAGCATTCACGCTCAACAAAAAGTGTTTAATATTTGAGGTAAGCACATAATGTGTGGATTGTTAATATACTATGACGTTGCTTATTGTTTGTAAAAGCGTATTATAATACATACAAATTATTACTAAAACTCTTTTGTAAAAATTACGAATAATAAAATTAAGATTTTTACATAATAACAGCGTTTTTGATTAAATATTCCAAAGGGAAAATAAGGAGAACAAGACGCTACGGAGCGTACACTTCGGCGTCGAGGTTGTGGAACTGATTAATTGTAAATGCGGAGAAATAGTAAGAAATTAAATATGGTAAGAGTAAGGTGTTAATTTGTGAAATTATAGGATTTGTCAGGATATTCTGAAAAGAGTAACATCCAAGAGGCATACTTGCCAAAAACTAGCATTTCGGGACAAATTGTCTCTGAGATATTAGCCCAGTTATGCTCTGATGACTACATATAAATCTTTCTAAATTTGACTTGGGTCTAAACGTTTAGACCTAAGTCAAATATGAGGTTACTGGCGGTGAATAACAAGTCTAACAAAACAAACAGTGAAAAAATAATTCTCTATTTTTCTCACATCAGGAATCACAAACAGCATAGCAGTCCCATGTACTGATTAAAGATATGTAAGGCATGGGTAAGGAGTCAAAATTACGTTGAGCATGGAATTGGCTAAACCTCAATGTTACGAGTTCGAATGTTTTGAGGATAATTATTCACTGACTATCAGCACGCAGGGATGTCGGATTAACACGAGGAAGTTTAATACCAGGGGAACATAGCCTTTACAGAGCTTTAAAACACAGCATCCGTCAACACAAACTTGACTTGAACTTAAGTAAAACTAGACAGCCTCTGCCAATAATAACAAGCTCTCACTTGAACTTCAGATATCTTACGGCTTCCGCCAACTTGTAAACACAGAACTTGAAAATCGACCTTCGTCACACTTGTACACTTGACTAAACACAGTAGTCCAGCTCGTGGGAAAAACTTAGTTCGTCAAAAGAACTCGCTTGGAACTTGTATACCGTTTGACATAAGGTTCTAGAAAATAATAAACAGGCGAATAGTGATAGCTTTTCGACATATTTTATGATTTCAGTAACTGATGCAAATCTGCTGACTTATGCTTAAATGTAAACATGCCCCAATTAATTATTTATTAATAATCCAAAAACGTAGAGAACGTTTGTGAAAGTCACGCAACGTATGAAAGCAATTTTACTACGTAACACTCAACAAAGACAAAATGTCTTTGTGCAGCATCTTGTAACTTTAAATTCATCATAAAACAGTTCGAAAGAAGGGCTCACTCGTGAAATGTTTTTCAACACTCGAAGAGAAATTTCGTGTCTCTGCGCGGCCACGTAATATCCTCTATTTATTCCTCGAGTAAATTAAAGACTAAACTCGAAGTGATCTCAAGATATCACGAAGTAGTCCGGTCTCATTTCGTGAAATAGCCGAAACAAGCCGAAAAGTCACGAACTTGTACGCCCAATCTTGTCCCGAAACTAGTGCATCATTTCATAACTATTTTTCATATCCCGAACTACCTTGGATTGCAGTAGCGCAATCGTCTAATCCTCTGATCTGACGGGTCACACAGGTTAGTCAGTTCAAACCCCGGGAAAGCCAAAATAATAATTCTTTCTTCCTTGCAAAAGTTAAAGAATAAATCAAAGAAATCGAAGTTATCTCGAGGTATCTCGAACTAATTCTGCTCTCACTTCGTCAAATAGCCGAATAAAACCGAAAACCTACAGACTTTGCGTGCCCAATCTTGTCAAAAAAAAGTCAACTTTGATACATTCCTGAGCTTCGCGAATCCGTTACTTCGCGCTCCGCCGACGTAAAAATATCTTTCTAAAGCTTTAAAAAAGCCGTCTTCAGACACGCATGGTTAATTGCAGGGCAATAGCTGGTGCCTAGAATGTCCCGCGGTTCTCTTGTTGCAGTGAGTATTTCATACACGAATGTCCGTCGGACTCCTAGACCTGACAGTCTGCCGATCAGCACATAATGTCCGACTCTGGAGAGAGTACTCTATACATGCGTCATCGACCAAGCGCTGGGTCAACACTGCGGGAGATTGGGGCAATACCGTTGTGTTTTATAGACCGAGTACAGCTGCGTCGCGTTAATCATGACATTACAGAGACTACGAGAAGAACAAATGTTTTGTTAATTGGTTGTTAACTCAAAAAAAGAACTGCTCAATCATACATTATGAAGAAGCGGCTTAAATCATTGACCTCTTCCTGGTTTTGACATCATAGTTAAAGAAGACGATACCTTAACCAACGACAGGAAAGTTATTGCAGAGCTTTTTAATGGCTACTTCGTAGAAAATTGGGAAATGTTGGTGAAACTTCAAAAAATGGATTATGTTGCTGACTTTACGGAACATTTATTGAACATCCTATTATTAGAGCAAAAAGCACAACCAAGTGTAAAAGAGAACTTTTAGATCTGAGCCCGTAAACTCATCTCTGGTGGAACAGCAACTACCTTCTATCAAGAGTCAAAAATTTTGTGGACGTGATATTATATCCAAAGCTACTAAAAATATCTGCTCCAGTCTGAAGAATGATCAACTGCACTATTATCTGGTGTTCTTATCCGGTTAGGCGGAAAATGGGCCAGGTAACACCTCTGATCAATGGAGATGAACTTTCCATGAAGAGTTATCCGGCGGCCGGTGACTGTATTACCACTTATAAACAACATCTGTAAAAGAATCTTGTCCGATCAGTTATCAGTGAGAGTATTTTAAAGATATATTGTCTGACTTTATATGCACATATCGAAAGAATTATCGTTGTGAGAGTACGCTGCTACGTTTAATAGAGGATTGGAGTACTAACCTGGATAATAAGGAAGTGGGTGCGGCGATGCCGGTTAGAAAATGGGTTCCTCACGGATCAGTCCTTAGACCCCTTTTCTTCAATGTCTTAATGAATGATCTCTTTTACTTTATGGACAGAGTATGTTAATGCTTACACTGAAGATGAGCAGATTTATGACTCGGATAAATATCCATTGATATTAGAACGAGACTTCAATGCCATATTCTCGAAATGGTATGATAACAAACCCAAACAAATATCAGGTAATAGTGTTAGGAAATACCAATCACGTTTTTAGTTTTCACGTTAACAGCATTAAAATTCCAGTAAAAGATAGCAGTGATCTTCTAGGAGTGAACATTGATAAGAATGTGCAGTTCAACAGCCATATAAAGAATATTTGTACTAAAGGTCAATAATCAGGTCAATGTGGTTTGCCGGCTTCAAAAACTAGTACCACCAACAGTCAACAGTAAAATCTATAAGGCTTATATAGTACCAGGTGCCACGAAATGTTAATCATAGTTTTTAAGGCTATCCATCTTGCCACCATACCAAGAGATAAGATATCTTGGTAGATTGTTGTGTTGTGTTGTGTTGTGTTATAGTATGGTATGGTATGGTATGGTATGGTATGGTATGGTATGGTATGGTATGGTATGGTATGTTATGTTATGTTATGTTATGTTATGTTTTGAAAGCCGCGCACACTGGCTCTGGATCCCCGCGTACGTGGCGTAAAGCAAGTGCTGGACTAACACGTTACACGCGGCTTTACTTAAAGCATTTCATAATAGCAATGAAGACAGCGCCACAAATAAAGTTTCATGTTTTAGTGCGTTTTTCCTTGTTCGGAGAAATCTCCAGGGATTGTTTTCCCAAATGGTCCATCTCACTAATGATGATTTTAAGTTAATCTTTTGAACTTGTTGGTTGCTCTATTTATACTTTATGGTATTTTGAATTTTACTGCTTATGATTATTGCGCGGTGACAAGTGTTGCTGACTAAATAATGCTTTCACACGTGGTTTTGTACAAAAGTTCCGCCGTCGATCAGGGCTGTGGCGTGAGGTAAATCTATTCTCCCTTTAACAACTTTTTATCTATCATAAAGACTCGCAAGTAACGCGGCATATCGTAACTCGTGATTCGCAAGGCCTTAAGAAAATAAACAAAAGAAAAGGCTACGTCCTTATGGTTTGAAAGTGACAATCTACTTGTCTGTTTATAGTCCACATACCACGGTCCATTGAGCTCAAAATTAGTGCAGGGATGTTCATTGCTTTTACGCCTCGTAACTAGGAAGAACGAAGCGTCTCGCATTGTTTTTTTTATAAATGACACCCCCTTAAGAGATTCTCGGGCAAATGTGTTTAGGCCTGTTTTTGAACGCGTCTAGGCGGAATGTAAAGGTGCTCTGGGCCCCGCCTTACAAGCAAGTTTAATTTTTTGGGAACAACAGACAATACTGCAATCTGTAACAGAATTTGCACGGTTCCGTATAAAAACTGATCGCCTTGGTAAAAAAATTCGTCCGTTCAAGAATTTGTCCGGACTACCCGTGTAAACGGGGTGTTAGTCAATAAGCATCTCTTTTTGTGAACTTCTCCAGTCCGACAAAGTTGATTATCTGGACACGTGTGCCACATCGAAACTTATTCTCGTAGGATATGAAGGAAGCATCTGACAAAGGTTCTGGCTGAAACAAGCCACTCCATAACAGTTCTGGCCTCCATAAGACATCATTGCTAGATCACAATGTTCTACTTCACAGCATTTATCGATGCATTCTTTCATGTCTTGGACTTTTCCAAGTTGTTTAAAGTGATCAGGCTTGAGTGGATTGCCTGCTAATTTCTTTTCCGAAGCATAAGGCGGGGAACATTGATGTCTAGGCATTAAGTTGCAGTCAACCACGGAAATCACTAGGCAAGAAAAGAATGAACACTAAACGATTCATTGATCAAGGAACAAGCACTGAACGCATCTAAACTGGAACAGCTCAACATTTAACCTACCATATAAAAATCCCAGAAGAACCATCGTCAAATTTAGCAGAGCCATTCTTCTTCTTTAATTTAAGTGAAAATTTATGCTTTGACTCGTGTGGCCTTTCAAAAGTCATTGGGGTCTCCGAGTCATTCAAGCGATGGCTTCTGGCATGGCACACATATCACCAGCGTAACCTGTAATTAAATCAACAAATCCGATTGGTTGTTAATTTCATGCACTGGTACCTGACGTTGGGTGCACTGCGGTACCAAAAATAATTACTCAGAGGAAACATGGCTATTTGATACGTTCCGTTCACTGGGTTTGTTCACCAATGTCATGGACATTCGATTGTCTACAAACAGAGTCTTATCCTAAATCCGTCTTGAATCCGTCTTCTCTTGTAAAAACGAGATCTCTATTTAAGCAATAATTAACTTGCCAAAGGAAGCGAGATAGACTGTATACCTGAGAAGTAAGGCTGGATTAGATGACATGTAAAATATAATGAACCATCTGTAATTTGTACGCAATGTATGACACCACAATAAAACTTAAGGTAGCTTAACAGGCCTTAACACCTTTTAAGAATATCAAACAGATATTCAAGGCATTGCATTTTGCTTGTCAATTCGGTTTTATGATTTTCTACCCCCAATAAAGGCACGGTGATCAGAAAGAAGGAGCAACAACCTTGACTCAGTGTCTTAACTTAAGTACAGTACAATTTATTCAGTTATTGGCTGAATAATATTCATTGTGTTAGCAAAGCAGCCAAGAACAACTAAGTGCACTTGCATAAGAGATTACTTATAAGGTCTTATAAACTAAGCAGTTACAGAAACATTTCAAAGCTTACCTGACGTCCATGCAAGTGATGTTTCGACCTGTTTTCAAGGAAGTCGAGTTATAGTGAGTATTAGTAGTCACAACTTTAAAGCATCCATGCACGGTATCTTCATTGCCAAAGCTGCAAAACGTTAGTCGTTTGTCCTGAAAGCTTTTTAACTGCTGTTTTAATCTTGTTAAAAAAGTCGATCTTTTGACCGAAGAGCTACACTGTCCGCCGATCATAACAGGTACCTGTTACTAACCAAGCTGAAATGTCATAGTTAAGGACCGACGTCTATAATTCACTCTGAGACTAGACCCATGCATGATTAACACTTGTGACCAAATCATTTCAACCAAATCTAATGACTAAGACGGCCTTTTCAAGTTAGGCACATAGGCCTTTTAACTGGGTTCATATTCCACGCTATATTCCTTCGTTTTTTTATATTTATCATTTGCTGTGGGCAGTGTTAAAATATTGGATCCTTATGATCGAAATTGGATTTAGACAACGATTCGTTTAAATGACGCCACTTACCTTTCTTCTCAGGTTTAGAGGTGTCCTTGAGGCTTCTGTGGTTCCTTACCTTTTAGTGTTGTTATAGTCGAGATATCGATCTATTTGTCAGACTAACAATCGAAAGAGTTCCATGGTATCTAATTGCACAAAGATTATTTTTCCATTCAGGCGTTGAACCAAAAACGTCTGCAGAGATAATTAAAAATTCCATAGGAGTACTTCTTAACATAATTGGAGTCGAAGCACCCTATAAACGCTATCCAGCGAAGATAGAAATAGCTCAAACGTTTAATCGACATCCCCTGAAAATCCCAGTGTACTGATTCAATGTGATTTTGGATAAGGATTCAGATAAACATGCACACTGAATATTATCTAAAGGCTCGGTTGAATATGTTTGATATATGAAAATGGGGGAAATCTACTCATAATGAAGCTCGCTTTTCATTTCAAAGGATTTTTAATTAAAACGATGGATCAGGCCTCCCCATGGGTCACTTGTCAAAACCGAGCGAACTCTCCATGCTTAACCCTTCCCACTTAAAAGAAGCTCTTATTTTTTAAAATGGTTACCCTTCATGGATCGTCAAATTGGGGATCTCTACGGGATCGCCTTTTTACTGCCGAGGGATCACCCGATTGTCCACTTGACCGTCACTAAACGAAACAAGAAACTTAACTCGTAGCCTGAATTTTACAATAAACTCATTAAAATTTTCAGTTATCAGTCTTTCCACATTCTTCTTCAGAATTAAATTCAGTGTTTACAAATCGGGTTGCATTAACCCTGCGTCAACCAGTCAGGTGATCTGTTAGGTGACCTGTCTTTTAGAAGGAGAGAACTTATTCACGGCGCAGTAAATGAAAAACAAATAATTTGCCATGTTGTGTTANCCATGGGTCACTTGTCAAAACCGAGCGAACTCTCCATGCTTAACCCTTCCCACTTAAAAGAAGCTCTTATTTTTTAAAATGGTTACCCTTCATGGATCGTCAAATTGGGGATCTCTACGGGATCGCCTTTTTACTGCCGAGGGATCACCCGATTGTCCACTTGACCGTCACTAAACGAAACAAGAAACTTAACTCGTAGCCTGAATTTTACAATAAACTCATTAAAATTTTCAGTTATCAGTCTTTCCACATTCTTCTTCAGAATTAAATTCAGTGTTTACAAATCGGGTTGCATTAACCCTGCGTCAACCAGTCAGGTGATCTGTTAGGTGACCTGTCTTTTAGAAGGAGAGAACTTATTCACGGCGCAGTAAATGAAAAACAAATAATTTGCCATGTTGTGTTACATTTGTTATTGCCTCTGAAGTTTGCCGGACACTAAAAGTTACTGAAACCAGTCCTCGACAGGGACTGCGGATTGAGTAAGACTACAAGTAAGTGATGATTGTGAATCACCACCACTTAACCCCGCAGAGAAATCAGTTGGGTGCCGATTGTTCAAAATTTAAAAGCGGTGACTGATTTACCATGCATTACAAAAGCACCTGTGTGTTTTGATGGAATTTTTTGTTCGCAAATCAAAACTTCCTATTCTTCATGTTACGCGCCAGTGGATCGCAAGAAATGGATGATTCGGATCGACGGTTCCTTGTTTAAAAAGCACTAGTCGCGTGCCATGTTCCTTCGCAGACATTCCAGAGTTCATTTCTTTCCTTTAGTTGAAAATGGTCTTCTCGTTCTCGCAAACGTACTTCTTCTTTTGGGTAGGTTAACTTCAGGAATCTTTGTCAATAACAGTGGCCAAAAACAGGACCCACCCGGATGATTGTTAATGCAAGATGGACGACGAAAACTTCTTGGTTGCAAAATTTTTGGAAAATATTTACCAAAAATAACTAGGTGTAAACAACTCTTCATTATAATGGCTATTTCAACAAATTGAGGAGAATTCAGGAACGTGACCCGATGAATGCTAAGGGTGATTGGTGTCTTTGCAATGTAAGCCGCCGGTTAATCAAGTTCTTTCATTTGTTTGATTAAAAGGTTGCATCGCTGAGGGTGGTTTGCTTCTCCCATCAAAAGATTGTTTTCCGGTGGCTACGTTTGATAACGCAGTTATTTCATCTCCTTTGAACACTTCATTGACACGAACCGAGTTTGGACATCACGGAAACCTTTCCAGGTGTTTGCTAGAGTGCTGCAACAGGACGGATTGCGATATGGTGATGTTTGATCCGCACGATATGTTGTGTTATGGTATGCTGTGTTCGGTGAGCAATGTTTGCCATTTTGGATCACCCGAGGTGGGACAGAGGTCGTTTCAGGCTGCCTTACTGGGTAAAACAAGTCAAGGTAATAGTTTATTGTATGAGCTGTGATGTCCAAGGGAGATGGAATTAGACATGTCGGGAAATTCTGCCAGTAAAACAGGCCTCCATCTAGCGAGCAGCTAGCAAAGCTCTAATTCCTAAAGGAGAATATGACCAATTAGAATTAGAGTTATATCATGGCTTTTCGTCGCTGCTTTAATTTATTTTATTAAGGGTAACAATGATATGAAAGAGCTATTTGAAATAATTAGTAAAATGGTGAATAAATTAAAAATACTTGCAACAAACTCTTACTTCCAAGTGACTGGAATCACGTTTCCGTGCATGCATTACGTGCTGGCTATGTTCTAACCCTAACCCTTGATAAAGAAACAACTGACTTATAAGACTGGCGTTGATGGCTACTTTTTTAAGCGCTAAAGTACTACTTGAGTTCAATGCTTAGTTTATGGAGAAAAGAAACGTAGCTCTGAAATTATAGACAAAATCACTTAATAGTTAGTAAGAGTGATCATTTTGAAAATAAACTTACAAGGAATACAATTGGATGGTTATTTGCTTAGTAGAATTTCAATGAGCTTTAATAATATCATTGTTTATTTTTTTATTTTTAATCTTTTTTTTTTAATTGGGATAAAGTAATGATACACCGGGTTCGAACTTTGTTGCCAAGAATAATTTTGAGTCGGATGAAAGGCAATCGGCTTTAGATTCAAGATTCATTTATAACACGTAATCATGAAAGCAGAGCTTTTAAACAAGTTAAACAGCTTAAGAAAGAATAGATCTCCCATGCTCCAGCCAAATTTTCTCTTTTATTATACATTGTACTCACTATCTGTCTTCTCATTGGCTAAGAGCCTACAGCTATTTTTGGAAATCAGTGTTACCTACAGATTAGCTTCTTATCTACCAGCAGATAACTGATTAATCTGTAGATTGCGAGTGCGTGCAATGCATGATTTCCAACAACAATATCAACTCTACTGAATCCAAGTTTCTCTTGAATTTCCTTTTACAGGGAAAATCATTGCTCAGTCCACAGACATTGTTGCCTCAAAGGAAACAGTTCAAAAAGAAGATTTACCGAAAAGAGAGGGGCATCGGGAAAACAAGAAGGACGAAAGAAAAGGGCTGAAAGATATGAAAATGAACACGAGAAAAAACAACAGTTTGCAGAAAGATGGAGGAGAATGTGGAATCAAAGAAATGGCACAAAATGTCTCTTTGAAGTCTGGTATGAACGCAGGAAATTTTAAACTGCATAAAACAGTACATAACATTACGAGTTGTACTGAACGTTGCTGTGAGGATCCTCTGTGTGATATCGCTGTCATTATGACAAATCGTTGTTATACTGTGCAATGTTACAGCCCTAAAGACTGTGAATCCAAGGAAAGCGAAACTCCTAATATCATTATAGCATACTTAGATAATCACCTCCGAAATAACCAAAATGGAACCACATCGACAACACATATCAACTTCAACAGCGACAGGAAAATAAACAAGAAAACCGTTGTTCCAAATTCTAGAGAAGGTAAGAAGTTACAAGAGTAAAGTTTATCTAAGCCTACAAGTGGAGAACCAAATTAATCACTACAGATCTATTAAGCTCTGCACTGATTAATTTGGCTAGGAAAACATCCCATTTTTTGTTTTGCTTTCATTACTCTCCAGCATGGTTTTATCTTCTCCGCTTATTTCCATGCATTTTCATGTCATCCCGAAATTTTCTATTCATGTTTTTTTAATTCCATTCACATGCAAGTAAATTAAATAAAACACAACGCTAAGGAGGTTCTTGGCCTGACGAATGATGCAGATCTGAAAGAAGCCTCGTAGCAAGTGTCCTATTACTAGTAAGTTGGAGCATGCTCAGGCACAACTTTTTAGCAACTTGGAACGCTTGCTACGCAGGCTCATATAAAAAAGAAAAAATGTTTAGCTTACACAGTACTTTGACCGACTTCTGTAATTTCCTAGAAACATCTTATGAGACGATAATGTATCGCTTTGATGAACATTTATTTCAAAACATCTATATATTTGTTTTTTAGGTAATATTGGAGATATGCTTGATTCAATCCAGTTCCTCAATGGTCCTTCTACCGTCACAAAAGACATGAAATTCAGTTTCCTTCAACAATGTGCTTTGTACGTCGAACCAGAAAATTTCACCAAGACTGTCCATGGCTGGGTGACACCTCGATACAGTCCTGTGAAATATCTTTACCAGGCCCCGAATGGAATTCCTCCTCCTCTTGGCATGCGATCTGCCGTACCGCTTGGAGGAATGGGTACAGGTGAATATATATAAGAGTAACAACCATCCGATATGATGTTTTCTTGCTTATTGTTTTAAATAACTACTCGCTTTCGACGATCAGGCGTAAAAGTTTGAAAAGAGGAACGTAATTTAGCTTAATCTAACAAGCATTACTTATTAGTAATAAGGCCAATACGCAGATACATGTACGTTTGTTTTGTGAGTGTTGCTACTTCAAAGAAACAATCTTTAGTAATTTAACAGTAGAACCTCTCGATTTAACGAACCTCTATATTTCGAAGTCCTCGGCATAACGAACGAAATATATTCCTAACCCCAGTAATGTTACAATATTTTGAAAAGAACTTCGTTATAGCGAATATATTTTGTCAGTCCCTTGAACCTTTGTTATATCGAAGTTTCACTGCAAAGGCGATTTCATTTACACTGTTTATTTCATCTTGGCCAAATTAAATTACTTATTGGTCAGTGAATCGTCTTCGAAGCCCTAAGATACACCTAAGAAAAGCTACGAGTAAACTCCTAATAAGCAAATGTTTGTAACCATTTGCACAGGTTCATTAGAGCTCCGGGCTGATGGGTCGATCCATGAATGGACACTCGAAAACCAGTCACCAGGTGGCTCGGTTAAACTTGGCCCAGGACCATGGGTCACTTGTCAAAACCGAGCGAACTCTCCATGCTTAACCCTTCCCACTTAAAAGAAGCTCTTATTTTTTAAAATGGTTACCCTTCATGGATCGTCAAATTGGGGATCTCTACGGGATCGCCTTTTACTGCCGAGGGATCACCCGATTGCCCACTTGACCGTCACTAAACGAAACAAGAAACTTAACTCGTAGCCTGAATTTTACAATAAACTCATTAAAATTTTCAGTTATCAGTCTTTCCACATTCTTCTTCAGAATTAAATTAAGTGTTTACAAATCGGATTGCATTAACCCCGCGTCAACCAGTCAGGTGATCTGTCAGGTGATCTGTCTTTTAGGAAGAGTGATAACTGATTCACGGCGCAGTAAATGAAAAACAAATAATTTGCCATGTTGTGTTACATTTGTTATTGCCTCTGAAGTTTGCCGGACACTAAAAGTTACTGAAACCAGTCCTGGACAGGGACTGCGGATTGAGTAAGACTACAAGTAAGTGATAATTGTGAATCACCACCACTTAACCCCGCAGAGAAATCAGTTGGGTGCCGACTGTTCAAAATTTAAAAGCGGTGACTGATTTACCATGCATTACAAAAGCACCTGTGTGTTTTGATGGAATTTTTTGTTCGCAAATCAAAACTTCCTATTCTTCATGTCACGCGCCAGTGGATCGCAAGGAATGGATGATTCGGATCGACGGTTCCTTGTTTAAAAAGCACTAGTCGGGTGCCATGTTCCTTCGCAGAGATTCCAGTATTTATTTCTTTCCTTTAATTGAAAATGGTCTTCTCGTTCTCGCAAACGTACTTCTTCTCCTGGGTAGGTTAACTTCAGGAATCTTTGTCAATAACAGTAGCCAAAAACAGGACCCACCCGGATGATTGTTGATGCAAGATGGACGACGAAAACTTCTTGGTTGCAAAATTTTTGGAAAATATTTACCAAAAATAACTAGGTGTAAACAACTCTTCATTATAATGGCTATTTCAACAAATTGAGGAAAATTCAGGAACGTGACCCGATGAATGCTAAGGGTGATTGGTGTCCTTGCAATGTAAGCCACCGGTTAATCAAGTTCTTTCATTTGTTTGATTGAAAGGTTGCATCGCTGAGGGTGGTTTGCTTCTCCCATCAAAAGATTGTTCTCCGGTGGCTATGTTTGATAACGCAGTTATTTCATCTCCTCTGAACACTTCATTGACACGAACCGAGTTTGGACATCACGGAAACCTTTCCAGGTGTTTGCTTGAGTGCTGTAACAGGACGGATTGCGATATGGTGATGTTTGATCCGCACGATATGTTGTGTTATGGTATGCTGTGTTCAGTGAACAATGTTTGCCATTTTGGATCACCCGAGGTGGGACAGAGGTCGTTTCAGGCTGCCTTACTGGGTAAAACACGTCCAGGTAATAGTTTATTGTATGAGATATGGTGTCCAAGGGAGATGGAATTAGACATGCCGAGAAATTCTGCCGGTAAAACAGGCCTCCATCTAGCGAGCAGCTAGCAAAGCTCTAATTCCTAACGGAGAATATAACCAATTAGAATTAGAGTTATATCATGGCTTTTCGTCGCTGCTTTAATTTATTTTATTAAGGGTAACAATGATATGATAGAGCTATTTAAAATAATTAGTAAGATGGTGAATAAATTAAAAATACTTGCCAACAAACTCTTACTTCCAGTCCTTCCAAGTCACTGGAATCACGTTTCCGTGCTGCATCAAAATGAATCAGTCCGCTACAATTGTTTATGTCTATGTTCTGGCAAGCTTTGCCTTGATAAAGAAACAACTGACTTATTAGACTGGCGTTGATGGCTACTATTTTAAGCGCTAAAGTACTACTTGAGTTCAATGCTCAGTTTATGGAGAACAGAAACGTAGCTCTTAAATTATGGTCAAAATCACTTAAGACTTAGTAAGAGTGGTCATTTTGAAAATAAACTTACAAGTAATACAACTGGATGGTTATTTGCTTAGTAGAATTTCCATGAGCTTTAATAATATCATTGTTTATTTTTTTTAGTTTTAATCTTTTTTTTTAATTGGGATAAAGTAATAATACACCGAGCTCGAACTTTGGAGCCAAGAGTAATTTCGAGTCGGATGGAAGGCAATCGGCTTTAGATTCAAGATTCATTTATAACACGTAATCATGAAAGCGGAGCTTTTAAACAAGTTAAACAGCTTAAGAAAGAATAGATCTCCCATGCTCCAGCCAAATTTTCTCTTTTATTATACATTGTACTCACTATCTGTCTTCTCAATGGCTAAGAGCCTACAGCTAATTTTGGAAATCAGCGTAACCTACAGATTAGCTTCTTATCTGACAGCAGATAACTGATTAATCTGTAGGTTGCGCGTGCGTGCAATGCATGATTTCCAACAACAATATCAACTTTACTGAATCCAAGTTTCTCTTGAATTTCCTTTTACAGGGAAAATCATTGCTCAGTCCACAGACATTGTTGCCTCAAAGGAAACAGTTCAAAAAGAAGATTTACCGAAAAGAGAGGGGCATCGGGAAAACAAGAAGGACGAAAGAAAAGGGCTGACAGATATGAAAATGAACACGAGAAAAAACAACAGTTTGCAGAAAGATGGAGGAAAATGTGGAATCAAAGAAATGGCACAAAATGTCTCTTTGAAGTCTGGTATGAACGCAGGAAATTTTAAACTGCATAAAACAGTACATAACATTACGAGTTGTACTGAACGTTGCTGTGAGGATCCTCTGTGTGATATCGCTGTCATTATGACAAATCGTTGTTATACTGTGCAATGTTACAGCCCTAAAGACTGTGAATCCAAGGAAAGCGAAACTCCTAATATCATTATAGCATACTTAGATAATCACCTCCGGAATAACCAAAATGGAACCACACCGACAACACATATCAACTTCAACGGGGACAGGAAAATAAACAAGAAAACCGTTATTCCAAATTCTAGTCAAGGTAAGAAGTTACAGTAGTGAAGTTTATTTAAGCCTGGAAGTGGAGAAGCAAATTAATCAGTGCAGACCTTTTAAGCTCTGCACTGATTAAATTGGCTACGAAAAAATCTTATTTTTTGTTTTGCTTTAATCTTTTAGGGAGTTAGCTCTAAGTATTACTCTCCAGCATTGTTTTATCTACTCCGCTTATTTTCATGCATTTTCATGTCATCCCGAAATTTTCTGCCGCAAATTCCATTCACATGCAAATAAATCAAATAAAACACACCAAAGGAGGTTCTTGGTCTGACGGACGATGCAGATCTGAATTAGCCTCGTAGCAAGTGTCCTCTTACTAGCAAAAAACAAAAGTTGGAGAATGCTCAGGCACAACTTTTTAGCAACTTGATCAACTTGAAGGCATGGGAGAACTTGCTACGCAGGCTCATATGCAAAAGAAAAAATGTTTAGCTTACACAGTACTTTGACCGACCTCTGTAATTTCCGAGAAACATCTTATGAGACGATAATGTATCGCTTTGATGAAGATGTATTTCAAAACATCTATATATTGGTTTTTAGGTAATATTGGAGATATGCTTGATTCAATCCAGTTCCTCAATGGTCCTTCTACAGTCACAAAAGACATGAAGTTCACCTTCCTTCAACAATGTGCTTTGTACGTCGAACCAGAAAATTTCACTAAGACTGTCCATGGCTGGGTGACACCCCGATATAGTCCTGTGAAATATCTTTACCAGGCCCCGAATGGCATTCCTCCTCCTCTTGGCATGCGATCTGCCGTACCGCTTGGAGGAATGGGTACAGGTGAATATGTATAAGAGCAACAAACATCCGAGTGACGCTTTCTTGCTTATTGTTTTAAATAACTACTTCCTTTCCACGATCAGGCGTAAAAGTTTGAAAAGTGGAACGTAATTTAGCTTAATCTGACAAGTATAATTAATAGTAATAGTAATAGTATAATAATAGTAATAATTAGTAATACGCAGATACATGTACGTTTATTTTGTGAGTGTTGCTACTTCAAAGAAACAATCTTTAGTAATTTAACAGTGGAACCTCGATTTAACGAACTTCTATATTTCGAAGACATCGTCCTCGGTATAACGAATAGTACAATATTTTGAAAAGAACCTCGTTATAGGGAACATATTTTTCGATACCTTAAATCTTTGTTATATCGTTGTTTCACTGCATACTTAGGCGATTTCTTTTACACTGTTTATTTCATCTGAGCCAAATTACTGATTGGTCAGTGAATCGTCTTCGAAACCCTAAGATACACCTAAGAAAAGCTATGAGTAAACTCCTAATAAGCAAATGTTTGTAACCATTTGCACAGGTTCATTAGAGCTCCGGGCTGATGGGTCGATCCATGAATGGACACTCGAAAACCAGTCACCAGGTGGCTCGGTTAA